TTCTTTTGTTGTTCCATTCTGGGATTGTTCTTGTGAAGAAGAACTGTGGACAGCACTGTCCCAGAAACAGACAATCTTTGGTGTCGATCACGGCTAGTCTGTCACTGAACCTGAGCCCTGTAATCTCTTAACATTTGGCTTCCACAAACCCCTTTCCCACAGCGACCCTATTTCGTGACCTGGGATGTGTCACAAGCCCCTCAGTGAGAATCGAGAGAGCAGCTTGAGGTAAAATGGTCAGGGGAGACCTGTCAGAGCGAGGGTGGGAGGGGAACGAACCTGTCAGGCCTTGAACCTATTAGAGTGAGACCTTGGTTGTTAGAGCTCACTTGAAGCGCCACTGCTGCCTCGCAACTTCCAAAGCTAGGACTTCAATCTGGATCCCCATTTGGGAGTCATGACCACCACTTTGGGAAGCCCTGCCTTAAATATATAGGGTTAACAAAAAATCTATCCATCTCAGTTTGCAAATTGACAACTGTCATTTGTGGAAGAGAAATTCCAAACTTCCCGCACCCTTTGCCTTTAGAACTGTTCCCTCATTTCACTCAGAAAGGGTCCTGCTCTGATCTTTAGACATTCTAAACTCACCGCCCAGCCGAAATATAGTTCCTCCTTATCCAGTGTTCTACCTGGACCCCTTAATGTCTTGAAAACGTCACTCAAATCCTATATTGACTTTCATTGCTCTGGAGAAGCCTTAGTTTCGGCCTTCAATACAGATTATAAGGAGGCAGAAGATGTAATTCAGAAATACAAAGCCCTGGGTAGACCACATTTGGAGTCAATTGCCTCAGGAAGGAGACATTGGCTTTGGAGGAGGTGCCGCCTTGATTCACCAGAATGATCCCTGGACTTCAAGAGGTATATCGTGAGGAGAGATTGCACATACTGGGTTGTGTTCCCCAGAATTTAAAAGACTGAGCTTTTATAAGTTTTTAAGAGCTAAAGGGCAGAGTATAGGGTCGATATGAACTATTTGTGTTTGTCGGGGATCTAGAATTCCTACAGTGTGGGGGCAGGTCATTTGGTTCATTGTGTCCACATTCCCCCCACCCTTTTCCCTGCAATTCCCATGACTAACCCACACTAGGGGACAATTTAGCAAGGCCATTCCACCCTAACCTGCACATCTTTGGACTATGGGAGGAAACCACAGTACCCGCAGGAAGCCCACACAAACATGAGGAGGATGTGTAAACTCTACACAGACAGTCACCCAAGGGTGGAGTCAAGTAGGAGTCCCTGACGCTGTGAGGTGGCTCGCACTAACTGCTGAGCCACTGTGCTGCCCTCAGGGCTGTGGTCTAACAGTCTCCCACAACTGATGCTGAATCAATTGTCGATTTGAAAACTGAGGTCAAAATATTTCTGTTAACTCAAGGTATGAACGTAGGGGATGTTCCGAAAGCTGGGAAGTGAGATCCTGGGCAGAATTTTGGGGTCACCAGCAATGGTTGCCATGGAGTTCCAACCTTGTGAGGGAAAGCGGCCCCCCTCTCATAGGCCGCTTTCCCTCACAAGGTCCCTCCCTTCCCCCCCCTTTGCTCTTGTTAGTTCTCTGCGACCCTGACCGATGCAACAGTTTTCAAGGCCTCAAGATGAATGTCACAGCGGGAAAGAGTTTAGGAAGTGTTGTATTCGGGGACATATGCTGAAGGCAGACATATAGACCTTAGTTACAGATCAGCTATGATAGGAGGCCTGGACCGTACAGTAGCCATTGCTACCAATACTGTCACAGGCAGATGCCTCTGCAAGAGGTAGTCTGGTAACTGGGTGAGGTGAAATTGTTTCATTCATCGCCCCCCACTTCATGAATCTTGAAGATGTGGAGCCGAGGAGTGGCAGAGCGAGTTTGATTTAGGTAAGTGTGAGGTGCTGCATTTTGGAAAGGCAAATCAGGGCAGGACTTATACACTTAATGGTAGGTCCCTTTGGGAGAGTTGCCGAGCAAGGAGACCTTGGGGTGCAGGTTCATAGTTCATTGAAAGTGGAGTCGCAGGTAGACAGGGCGGTGAAGAATGAGTTCAGTATACTTGCCTTTATTGGGCAGTACATTGAGTATAGGAGTCGGGAGGTCATGTTGCAGCTGTACAGGACATTGGTTAGGCCACTTTTGGAATACTGCGTTCAATTCTGGTCTCCCTGCTATAGGAAAGATGTTGTTAAACTTGAAAGTGTTCAGAAAAGATTTACAAGGATGTTTCTGGGATTGGAGGATTTGAGTTATAGGGAGAGGCTGAACAGGCCAGGGCTATTTTCCGTACAGCATCAGAGGCTGAGGGATGGTTTATAAAAATTTATAAAATCAGGAGGGGCATGGAGAGGGTGAATAGTCAAGGTTTTTTTTCCCAAGGTAGGGTAGTCCAAAACTACAGGGGCATAGGTTTGAGGTGAGAGGGGAAAGATTTAAAAGGGACCTGAGGTGCAACATTTTCACACAGAGGGTGGTGCATGTATGGAATAAGCTGCCAGAGGAACTGGTGGAGGCTGGTACAATTACAAAATTTAAAAGGGATCGGGATGGGTACATGAATAGGAAGTGTTTAGAGGGAAATGGGCCAAAAGCTGGCAAATGGGACTAGATGAATTTAGGATATCTGGTCGGCATGGAAGAGTTGGACCAAAGGGTCGTTTTCCGTGCTGTGCAGCTCTGTGTCCTTAGTTAGCCTGGTACTAGTCAGACCGGGCCACTCTCAGTAATGTATATCACAGACCCCACACCCATTCTATGCCCCTGCCAACCATCAGTAGCTGTTCCAATTGCTTTTCAACATGGTGGATTCAACAGCTAAGGGGGAGGGGTGGTGGGAAGTGGTAAACAACAGGGGGTTTTCCCGCCCATGTTTGATGCAGTGAGATTTCCTGAGGTCCAGAGGGATTCAATGTTGAGGGGCAATCCCTCCACAGCCCACTGTGCCATCACCTCTGGCAGGACCAACCCAGGGTTGGTGATGGAGGTGCGTGGTACATTGGTTATAAGATATGGCAGGTCAGTGTGTGACAGCCCTCCCGCCTCCAGGGATTAGAAAGGAGGACTTTTTTTTTGCAAGGCTGGAGGTGCCTTTGTCGTTTGCAGTGCCAAGGCTGGCTTTTTGACTTTCCTTTCATAGCTTCCTCATCCACTTTGGACGGCCGTTACAAATAGCCACATGGCTGTGGGTCTGGAGTCACGTGTAGGCCAGACTGGGTAAGGACGGCAGATTTCTTTCCCTAAAAGACACGAGTGGGTTGTTAGAATGGTTTCAGAATTACCACTTTTAATTCCATGTTTATTCATGAGTTGAAATTGAAGAGCTGAGGCTCACTACGGCATTAGCCTCTACCTCTGGATGACCAGCCCAGTGATATTGTCACTACGCCGCTGTTCCTGCCAGCCCCAGTTCAGCAGCCAGAGCCCTTGGCTGATTTGTCCCCTTCTTGTTCTGGAACCCTCTCAAAAGATTCCTGCTCATCCTGTGATAGATTTAGGGTCCGTTGCTCCCAGTTGGACAGGCACTGGGAGGTAAACTAGTGACCATGCTAGCGAACTGCACCTAATACAGTTGGTTAGTACAATAACAACACGCATTTACATTGTGCCTCTAACTTCGATGTCCCTGAGATATTTCCTAAGAATGATCTCAAACCAAATTTGAGGCACTAAGGGGCTAGAAAGGGCAGCTCTGTCAAAAAAGCTGATTTTAAGGATCATCTCAAAGGTGAGAGAGAGAGAGAGACTGAGAAATTTAGGGAGGGAATTCCATAGGTTAAGGGTCAGGCCAGCTGAAGGCATGATCGCCAATGATGGAACGATGGTAATCAGAGGGTGGGCAAGAGGCTAGGATTGCAGGACTGCAGATATTTTGGAGCTTTATATGGCTGGAGGTGCTTACAGAGGGCGGGCAGTGAGGTATTTGAAAACAAGGACGAGGATTTTAAAATTGAGGTGTAGACAGACCATGTAGATTAGCAAGGTCACAGGGTGATATGTGAGCGAGATTTGGTGTGAGAAAGCGAGATGAGAGGGTAGAAATGCAGTAAGTTCCTTTATCCATTAATGGGATGAGGATGCCACTGGCTGAGCCAGTATTTATTGTCCATCCCTAATTGCTCAGAGAGCATTTCAGAGTCAACCACATTGCTGTGGGTCTGGAGTCACTTGTAGGCCAGACCAGGTAAGGACGGCAGTTTCCTTCCCTAAAGGGCAGTCATGAACCAGGTGGGTTTTTTCCCCGACAATTGACAATGCATTCATCATCATCATTAGATTCCTAATTCCAGATATTTTATTGAATTCAGATTCCACCATCTGCAGTGGTAGGATTCAAACCCAGGTCACCAAAATTTTCTCCATGTCTCTGGATTAACAGTCCAGCAATAATACCACTAGGCCATTGCCTCCCCTGCGTTTGCTGGGATGTTGCCAGAAATGGGAGAATTTTACCTCTGAGGAAAGGCTGGAGTTGAGTTCTTTGGAACAGATGCTGGGGGCAGATGCATTGGAGATGTAGGGAGTGGTGAGGGGCTTGGACAGTGTGGATAGGAAAGTTGTATTGCTTTACAAGACAGGTCAGTAACTTGACAGCAGGGACTGGGAGTAACTGGTGGCAGGGTTAGAGGGTTGTGAGAGCCTGGAGCTTGAAAGGCTGCCAGCCAGCAGAGCACTGGAACAGGAGGAGGCCTTTCTGCCTCTCTTGTCTCTTCGGTCAAAGAGAACGGCTCAGAATTAGAGCGATTATAGAAAATAAATGGGCTCACCAGAGGAGTGGGTGGGCAACCTGGGCTTGAAGACAAGGGATTTCTGGTTACTTGCAGGAGCACAGCTCAGGATTAATGAAATGTCTAATGATACCAGATGCTGGTATCACCACCATTAACCAGTGCTTCATGTCCTGTTGGTGTCTGTACAGTTAACTGGGGCTGCGTGTCCTGTTACTGAATGGACCATCAACCCATGCTGCGTGTCCCATCAATGTCTTCAAATGCTGCAGCTAATTGTGTCTTCTCTCTGTCAGATGAGGTGGGGGCTCTTGTGTTTGACATTGGCTCATATACTGTGAGAGCTGGTTACGCTGGAGAAGACTGCCCCAAGGTACAGTATTGCTACTCATTTCTTTCCTCAAGCGGTTGTATCTTACCTGCGCCTCGTTCCTGCCACCCTCTGCTGTCTGTCCCTCTCTGTACTACTATCTGGCAGTTACCCGATCCAAGGTGTTCCAAACCTTGCTGTTTCCAAGATACACGTACACATACCTTACCAGAAGAGAGCAGAGAGGAGAGAGGAGTTGTAGAGTCATAGAAATGTACAGCACGGAAACAGACCCTTCAGTCCAACTCTTCCATCCTAAATTAATCTAGTCCCATTTGCCAGTATTTGGTCCATATCCCTCTAAACCTTTCCTATTCATATACCCATCCAGATGCTTTTTAAATGTTGGAATTGTACCAGCCTCTGCAATTTCCTCTGACAGCTCTTTCCAAACATGCACCATCCTCTGCGTGAAAACGTTGCCCCTTAGGTCCCTTTTATATCATTCCCCTCTCATCTTAAACCTATGCCCTCTAGTCTTGGATTCCCCTACCCCGGGAAAAAGGCCTTGGCTATTCACCCTGTCCATGCCCCTCATGATTTTATAAGCCTCTATAAGGTCACCCCTCAGCCTCCAACGCTCCAGGGAAAATAGCTCCATTCTATTCAGCCTCTCCCTGTAGCTCCAACCCTGGCAACATCCTTGTAAATCTTCCTGAACCCTTTCCTATAGCAGGGAGACCAGAATTGAACATAGTATTCCAAAAGTGGCCTAACCAATGTCCTGTACAGCTGCAACATGACCTCCCAACTCCTATACTCAGAACACTGACCAGTGAAGGCAGGAGTACCAAATGCCTTCTTCACTATCCTGTCTACCTGTGACTCCACTTTTACGAACCTGCACTCCAAGGTCTCTTTGTTCGGCAACACTTGCCAGGACCTTACCATGAAGTGTGTAAGTTCTGCCCCGATTTGCCTTTCCAAAATGCAACAATTGAATAGTGGGGCAGGCTCGAGGGGCCAGTTGGCCTAATCCTGCTCCTATTTCTTATGTTCTTAATAAAACATTATCTATCTCAGACTTAAAACTAACAACTGATTGGCATCAACTGTTGTTTGTGGAGCTGAATTTGAAACCTTTAGAAATGCTTTCCAATATCTCTCCTGAACAGTCTGATCCTAATTCTCAGACTGTGCACACTTGTTCTAGAATCTCTATTGACCCTGGCTCAAAAATGCAACACCTCACACTTATCTCCAGGTCCCATGTTAGTCTGATGTAACTTTCCTCACTGTCCACTTGTAGAAATGAGTGTAAAAATAAGAACCTTACCTGTGACAAAAGGCTGGGATTGGATTCCTTGGCACAGGGGCTGAAGGTAGATTTAGTTGTGGGGTATGAAGTTATGACGGACTTAATAGGAAAGATATATAGCGGACAGATCAATAACCAGGCAGCAGAGACATGAAGTAATTGTAAGAGTTAGAGAGGAGTTAAGAAGGAATTGTTTTCACCCGGGGGATGTGAGGAAAAACCTTTTCACTCAGACCATGGTGGGAATCTGAACTCACTGCCTGGTAGAGGCAGAAATCCCTCATATTTAAAATGTTTAAAAATAACTTCCATGTGATGTGGGTGTCTCTGGCACATTATTGCCCTTGAGAAAGTGGAGGTGAGTTGCCTTCTTGAAGCACGGTAGTCTGTGTGGTGTAGGGACACCCACAGTGCTGTTAGGGTAGACAGAAACTTTTCCCTGCTGATGGACGGATCAATGTTCAGGGAGCATAGTTTAAGGTAAGGGATAGAAGGTTTAGAGCAAACGTGACATTAAAAAAAACCTTTTCACCCGGAGGATGGTCCGAATCTCGAACTCACTGCATGTAAGAGTGGGAGAGGCAGAAACCCTCATAACATTTAAGAAGTATTCAGATGTGCACTTGCAATGTCAAGGCTGCGGGCCAAGTGCTGGGAAATGGGATTAGAGAATAGTGAGGTGGTTGTTTTTGACAGGCATAGACTCGATGGACCAAAGGGTGTTTTCTTTGCTAGAGTTCTCTACGACTGCACAAGTATTTGATGGGGACAGGGGTGTAGAGGGAGTTTTCCTCTATATTTAACCTCGTATTGTACTTGTCCTGGGAGTCGTTGATGGGCTAAGCGTAGACGGAGCTTTACTCTGTATCTAGCCCTATGCTGTTCCAGTCCTGAGAGTGTTTGATTGGGACAGTGTAGAGGGCGCTTTACTCCGTATCTAACCCCATGCTGTCCCTATCCTGGGTGTGTTTGATGGGGGACTTTGTAGAGGAAGCTTTATTCTGTGTCTAACCCCATGCTGTCCCATGTCCTGGGAGTGTTTGATGGGGGACAGTGTAGAGAGAGCTTTGCTCTGTATCTAACCCCGTGCTGTCCCTGTCCTGGGAGTGTTTGATGGGGGACAGTGTAGAGAGAGCTTTACTCTGTATCTAAACCCGTGTTGTCCCTGTCCTGGGAGTGTTTGATGGGGGACAGTGTAGAGAGAGCTTTACTCTGTATCTAACCCTGTGCTGTCCCTGTCCTGGGGAGTGTTTGATGGGGGACAGTGCAGACGGAGCTTTACTCTGTATCTAACCCCGTGCTATCCCTGTCCCTGGGAGTATTTGATGGGGGACAATGTAGAGGGAGCTTTACTCTGT